ATTATATTGTGTAATTGCACTGACCATTTGTTTGTAATCTGTGGTGGTGGTGGTGGTGGTTGTGTGCTGTGGAGTTGGTTCTGACTCTTAGCGACCCTGCACAGGGTTTCCAAGCCTGTAAATCTGTACAGAAGCAAAAAGCTTCATCTTTCTCCCATAGAACTGCTGGTAGTTTCGAACCGCTGACCTTGAGATTAGCAGCCTGACTTGGAGCCACTACACTAATCTTTTTTAAAGCTAGGTATAAAGATTAGGGAGTGTTATGAAACTCTTTTATATGCCCATTTACTTCTTTGGCATGGTATTCAAAAAGCTTACCGCTTTCCTTCTGTTGGGGTAGGAAGTTAGATTGTAATTTTAACTGGGAAAGGAAGTTAGATTATGATTTTCCACATCTGACTCATAAGTCAGGGACACTTGGCATCAAGTAAGAGAGCTAAGGCCCCGTTACTGCACTTTGGTAATTTTCAAACATGGGTCTTGGCTTTTTTTTCCTCAACAGTAAAATATGAGATTATGCTCCCTAGCAAAGGCAGTAGATAAAAGAAAGAAGATGGCTATGTTCTTTCTTTGTATTTACTGCTAGAGTCATGGTGTGGCACTTTAAGAAAGCAATGGACCACAAGATTGATTTGAACTGCAAGGTGGAGTTTCAAACCCATCAGCCTCACCTCTGATATACAGGGTCTCTAAGAGTCAGAATCAACTGGAAGGCACTTAACAAGAAGTTTTTGTTTTAAGGAACCTTGGTAATGTTGTGGGTACGAATGTAGGTGCTAACAAAGGTCAGCAGTTCGAAACTACCAGCTGCAGATAAGGTTTTCTGCTTCTGCAAATAACAAGCTTGGAAACCCTATACATGGTCACTATGAGTCGAGGGGAAATGACTCCACAGCACACAGTCACCACCACCAGTTTTGCTTTAGACCAGTGAGGATCAAGAAGGACATAGATAGAACCTACCCATGGACTCTGTCTTTGAGGACTAGGGACCCCAGAATAAAACTCAGTAGTTTTGTGCCTTTGACTGCAGGGAAGGAATATGCTATCTCCTAGAAAAGCTTGAGAACGGTACATAGAATAAATGTCTTTAAAAACCGGAAGAGAAATAAATTCTTCAGCAAACTGACTGGTAATTAAGAATTAGTCTTGTCCCAAGTTTACCACAGGATTATCTTGTTTGTCACATCACAACTGTCTATCTAGCTCCACAGCTTTACTCTATTTTCCTAGGGTAAGCCACTTGGAGAGCTTTGTGGTAAAAATTTATTAGCTTGAGTTGAAGAAATCCCATCAAAAATGTACTCAGTGGAGTTTGTCTTGATTATAATTTGCTTTGTTGGGTGTGGCAAATATGAAGGGAAATGTGTTTCCTTTAAAATAAATAAGACATAGAAAGGTGGCCGAAAGTTTCAAGATTGTAATTCCCAGTTGTTTTGCTATTAAAGATAAAAGTATTAAAGCTCTAGTATTGTTTGTTTTCTTTCTTGCTAGACTTCCAGTCCCTATGTCTTCCTTTCCTTTCTCTCTGTTACTACAATCTAGAAGATGAAACTGGACAGTGGACTTTGGACAGTGGACTTTGCTCACTATAATGACAGGATCGCTGTTGACCTCCATTGTATACTTTAATGCATGATGATATATCTTGTATAATGAGTTGTGTCTGATGGCTCCTTTATGAGTTAACTAGAGTGTCTGGTGGATTTGGTGACTCTGGATCTAGAAAACCATGCAGATGTAAGAGCTAGTGAAAAAGGAGTTAGTTAAAATTTTTATGATTATATTATTTCATGTGTTATTGGGATGACAATAAAACTGTTTTTAGGATAAAAAAGAAAGAAAAAGGAGTTAGAGTCAGAAGAATCAGCAGAAAGTGATTTGGCCTAAAAATGGAAAAGACTGATGATGGCCAAGGGATTCAAGTCAACCTAAGAGAATACTAGACTTGAAGACGTAAGAACTTTTCAGATCAAAAAAGAAATTGTGGGACTGTGAACAACAAGGCCATCAATTCAAACCTACCATCTGCTCCTTGGAAACCCTATACAGGATCACTATGAATTGGAACCAACTGGACAGTACCTAACAACAACTAGCTGGATTCTACATTTAATCCCTGTTGTTGTTGTTGTTGTTAAGAAGTGCCATCGAGACAGTTCCAACTCATAGTTGCCCCTGTGTAGGATTTCCAAGGAGTGGCTGGTGGGTTTTAACCAATAATCTTTTGGTTAGCAATCTAGTGCTTATCCTATAGCACCACACAAGGACTCCCCTGGACTCTATTATCTAAAAGTTTGTTTATATTATTCCTATAGTGTCAGCACTCAAAGTAACTGAACTAGTTGAAGTGTTCTTTCCCTCCACTGCCCTCCTCTAACAGTGAAATTACGTCAGTTACTTTGTGTGTATCACAAAATACCTTAAACCATCTGCTTGTAGGCACTTTGAGGGAAATGATATAACTTGTAACTGAGGATTTTGCTCGGTACCTTAGAATTACTTAGGATTCTAGTGTTAAGTTCATGTCTTAAATAATTAGTGACGACAGTGTTGACTGACTCTGGGGAAAGGAATAGGAGAAAGTCCCACAAGCACAAGAAAAAGTGCAAAAACTCTTAGCTACTATGCCACGTAATAAGCTTACCAACTAGAATACTGCACCATTTGCAGTATGGGGTCTAACCAAAATTAGGGATATGTATCAAATAATGATCCATGTGGTATTGCATCCCAGAACCTGAGAATAGATTGATTTTTTTTTTTAAATGGGGGAAAACGGGACTGGGCCTAGTGACCTGGCTCTAAATTATTAACTGCCAGTAGTGGCGCTGTGGGTCAATGTGCCAGACTGCAAAGCTGTTTGAACTACAAGGTCGATGGTTCAAGTTCACCAGCTGCTCCTCTGAAACCCTATACATGGTCGCTATGGATTGGAACCAACTCAACGGCACTTAGCAGCAACAGCAATAGTAGTTAAGCTTGATGTGGTCCCTTTTCAGGTTTCTCCAAGATGCCCAGAGCTATTTATGCTTTTTTGCTGACAGTATAAATTATTTCTTTGTAAAGCTGTTTATTCTGTAGTACTTCACTTTGAGGAAATTTTTTTTATGGTCATCCTACTGAAGAAGATTTCCTAATGTTTCTTGTCACGTGGGTTGCCTATTGCCTGAGGTTTACAGGGGCCTCCTGTTTCCTCTTCTTGGGCTCAGTTGTTGACTGTGACTGTGCGTTGGCATCGTCTTGTCAGAGTCTCGCACATTTAATGGAAGAGGAACTGTCTATATGATGACACATTTAAAGGTCCACCAGAGAGTGAGTTATTGGACTAGATTTGCCTGCTGCTCTCAGCTGTGCTTGTGTGTTGAGTAAAGCATGCTTGCTCTGAAGTTTGAGATTGCTCTTTCCTGGCTCTCTCTCTATGTTGTTGTTGATAAGTGCCGTTAAGTCGATTCTGACTTCTAGCAGAACCTGTATAGAGTTTCCAAGGCACAGGGGAGTGTGAACCGCCGACCTTGCAGCTCAAACTGACTTTGCGGTCCAGTGTTTATCCTACAGCACCACACCAGGACTCCATATATATCCAACTATAATTCCTGAGAAGGAATTTTGATTACTCAGATTTTTAAGAATTAGTAATTTACAGATGGTGGCTAACTCTGAACACTTTTCTCCTTTTCTCAATATTATGTACTTCTATCAGAGGTCTGATTAAAGATCAGCCCAGGAAAGCAAGATGTATTTTGGAGATTTTTTTCCTAGAAAACCAAAGTCTGGGTTTCTCTCTCTGGTTTTCCTAAAGGATTTGCGTACATGTATCAGGTGTCTGAAAAACTAATCTGAATGGGGCTCGTATGATGGACCATGGTGGTTGGGACAGGCTCTTGCAGAGCAAGTTGGGGATGTGTGTGGCAAAGGGCAAGGCTGGGTCAGCCTCCCTGTTTTCAACTTCCTGCTTTCAGGTAAGCTATTGTTAGCTTTAATCTTCTTGTTGATCTGGGAGGCTTATACCCACCCTCATTTTCTGCTTCTAGTTTTTGTGGAAAGCTTCTATCCTGCCTTTAATGCATCTGCCATCTGGTGGGGGTCCTTTATAACTGTGTGGCTGAAGAAACAGGTCTCATCCCACCAGCTCCAGCACATTTGCTTCTCAGGACTTAGGTGTCCTGCTAATTGTATGAGAATCCATATTACCTCAAGAAAAAATAAATTTTTTTTTTTTTAAGGTTTCAACAAAAAATTCAAAGCAGAAAATAATTCCAGTATGAAAGGTTAAGGAGCTTGTGATGAAAGCCTGTCACCTAAGTCAAGTATAATACTTTAATATCGAATTAGTAGACTTTGTAGAAAAATTAACAACTGGATATCCATCCCACAACCAGGCTCCTTTTATATACAAGGCACATTTGTCAGCGCAAGTGTAGATAAAACTCAGCTGAGTTCAGTTGGCATTTAATTGCTTTTTAAGCGGAGGGGTGGGGGTGTCTTGTGGTAGAGGCTTCATATTTTTGTTCCTCTATCTCCTCCATTTCCAAGCCAGTCCTTTCTTGGGCAACAAGACAATTGAGAATAGTAGGTAAGACTTCTCAACTCTTCTCACTAAATGGAGTGTAGACCTGTGGGAGGTCTGAATCCCGTTTTAGACCCGTTGGGGACAGTTAGATGCAATCCTTTGAAGGCAAGCAACCAGATTTTGTATTTTCAGTTTTATTTGTAAGATACCAAAGTGGGAGGACAAGGAATAAATTTCACTTCTGCAATTAACTGGCCTTTACAGCTGGGGACAGGGTATGGGTTGTTTAGCTGTATCTTGTTTTATTCAGTATTGAATTGTAGAGAATAAACTTCTGTGTAAGAGCACTAAATTCTCAACATCCTTTATGTCTGTGTTTGCTGGTAGGGCCTACCACCACAGAAGATCTCTGCCTCCACCCCCCCGGGGCTGAGAGGCCCCCACCTTTTCCCAAACTGAAGCTGCCAGGTATTGAGATACCAGCCAGATGTCTTCCCACAAAGGATCCGTGGTAGCACAGGGCAATGGGGCACCTGCCAGCAACAGGGAAACTGACACGGTGGAACTGGCTGAACTGGGACCCTTGCTAGAAGAGAAGGGCAAACGGGCAATCGCCAATCCAACCAAAGTAAGTCGTCGTCCCAGGAGTCACTTCTTTGACCAGTGTCTCTCCCTACACTTCTGTCAGTCTCTTTTTCAGAAGAGTTTACCTTCCTCCCAAAAGCACCCTGAGATTGTCCCTTTCCTAGTCTGTTTACCTGCTGTAAGCTTTTGTGAGTTCACTTATCTTTGTAACCCCAGTGTTTTAGCACAAGGCCTGAAATCCAGTAAAACCCACTGCCACCACACCAATTCTGACTCATAGCTCCCCTAAAAGAAAGAGCAGAACTGCTCCATAGGACTTTTGAAACTAAGTCTTTATGGGAGCAGAAAGTCTTATTCTTCCGAAGAGTGACTGGTGGATTTCAACTGCCGACCTTGTGGTTAGCAGTTCATTGCTTATCTGACACCACCCCAAGCCTCCTTCAAAATCCAATAAGTAGTCAGTAAATACCTGACTGAGTGAAGGAAGCTCTCAGGGGTCTTAAGGAGGCTTAGGTTTGGCTGTTCTATAACAAAAACCCCTATAGCTTAAAAAGGTCAAAGTTGTTCTCTAATAATGAAAGAATTCTGGAATGATCAATCCATGGTTGATATGGAGGCTCCACTACTAGCAGGGATCCACGCTCCTTCTTTCTTGTTTCTGTATCATTCTTAATTTTATGCCTATCACGCTTTCCTTCTAGCCACTCTGAAGGGGGCTGGGGAAGAGAAGAAAAGCCTGCCTTTTCAGTTTAAAGTACCTTTACACCTCTTCCAGTTCTGTCTCACAGAACTTTGCCACTCACCTAGCCCTATCCAGCTGCATGGGAGGTTAGGTTTTTTAATTGGATACACATCTAAAAGGGACCAATTGTTTACGAGGGACGATCTACAGGAAAGAGAGAATAGCCCAGAGAAGGAATTAAACTGCCCTGTTTGCCACCTCCATAGGCTGGAGCTTGGAGACGGACAGAAAAGTTGCCTCCTGAGGCAAGTGCTGTCCAGTGCACATGGATGTCGAGGCTCATTTGTGCACAGGTGTCAGTGTTGCATCTTCCCTTGGGACCAGTTCTAGAGCCCTGATGCCTCTGGAAGCTCCTGTGGGTACAAAGTTCCAGTCATTGTAACTTTCCCAGATTCTGCTACTGGAGAACTATGAATAAAATTAGATTGTTAAGAGAATTTTTGAGAATTTTTCATTGTTTTGAGAATTTGCTGACCTGGAGGAGGGAAGTGTTTGGGAAATTGGGAGACAATTGAGAGCATTAGCCTAGAGAAAAGGATGGGCCATTCAGACTTAAAGGACAGGTGTGCTAATCCTGTGTCTCTCAGATGTCAGCCCCTGTCAGAGGTCAGAGTGAAAGCTGAATAGAGCTTTCACTCCAGAATTTACAGTGTTTATAAACCTCCGTCTAAACTGTTGAAAGCTCAAGTTAAGTATTCTTTTGGAAAAAAGATGGCTCTATGTCAGAGAAAGAACTTTGAGTTGGATTTCTCTAGATTTCTGATCTTGGACAGTAGAATTTATGGGATGATTGATTCCTAGATTTGTTGGTTTGTTAATCCTACAGACTGAAGAAGAGCAAACATGTCCAGTGCCCCAAGAAGAAGAGGAGGAGGTGCGGGTCCTGACGCTTCCCCTGCAAGCCCATCACGCCATGGAGAAGATGGAGGAATTTGTTTATAAGGTGCAGCCTATCAGCTTGTGTTGTGGAAGGGGAAGGGCAACAGGGTGTTGGGATGTTCCCAGCAGGCAAGGCTCCCAGTTCAGAGCATGCATTGTGTTGAAAAGCTTTTGCACCTGTGTGGATGGGTTTGTGTTTTGCTGAAGGTAAAATAAATCAAGTGGAAGGCTGACTAAATTTTTGTTGCCTGCTGTGCTAGGCATTGTTCAAAATATACATCAGAACAAGGGTTCTTAATTTTGTGCCATGGATTCTTTGGCATTTATCAAAATATTTCAGTATGGTATAGTAATATGGGCTCCTTTATTGATGCATTAAGTATGTATTAATGATAAGGCCTAACATGTTTTATTATAAATAGTATTTTGAGATATCTATAAGACTGTAATGTGATATGACAATATCTGTGGTTTCTATTAGTGGCAGGCTCACACGTTCTGCTGATAATACTGTGGTTTGTTGTCTACATTTATAATTGAGGGAAATGCTAAATTTTAGTTTGTGGATGAAATTCCACACACACACACACACACACACCCCATCCAAGTTCCCATCTACTACTTAGATTCTGTTCATTTTCCATGGATCCTAGATTAGGAAATCCATCCTAAAACAACATAGTCCCAGCCTCGTAAGAACTCAGACTCTAGTTGGGGAAAAGGCTGGAGCAGGGGCCAAGCATGTAAGAATGTAATATAGTTATGTAACCTATGATTTCTATTTCTTTGTTTTCATTCATTACTTAATTTTGCAATTATTTAACATGTTTACTTAATTTGAAAATTTAAGTCGTTTAAAAGAGGCCATGCCATGTATTTAAAAGGTTGAGTGTTACTTTTCTAAAGTTACATATGTTCTAGGTTTGGGAGGGACGTTGGAGAGTCATCCCATATGATGTGCTCCCTGACTGGCTCAAAGACAATGACTACCTGCTACATGGCCATAGACCACCCATGCCCTCTTTTAGAGCTTGCTTCAAGAGCATCTTCCGCATCCATACAGAAACTGGCAACATCTGGACCCATCTGCTTGGTGAGTATAATTGAGATGGTGGGCATCCAATTTCTTTCCTCCTTAGTTGCCAAATTACTATATATCTATATATATATAGAGAGAGAGAGAGCTTTTGTTCATAGGAAGGAAGAAGAACAAAGTTGCTCTGATGGCTTGTAGGCTGGAGTTGTGACTTTAAATAACCACTGACCTTGGTTGATCCTTGATCACTGACCTGTATGACTTTGAGGAAGGACTAGAAGCAGAAAAAGAAATGGAACTAGATGTTCTCTTGTGATTACTTGCAGAACTGGTCTAGATGGAAGCATTTTCTTAATTACAAAAAAGTTAAAACAAAATGCCAACATTTCCAAAAATGATCTTTTTGTTTAGCCTTGTAGGGCTGGTGCCATTTTCGCTGGAAATTTTAGATGGCAGTTCACATAGTTAAATTCTGTAGCTCCCTGATTTAATACTGTCAATTATCTGAGACTGTCAAAACACATGGATTTGCTTTTTCCTCACATGTTTTCTCTCCTCCTTCCCCTTTTCCTATAGGTTTTGTGCTGTTTCTCTTTTTGGGAATCTTGACCATGCTCAGACCAAATATGTATTTCATGGCCCCTCTACAGGAGAAGGTGGTTTTTGGGATGTTCTTTCTGGGTGCAGTGCTATGCCTCAGCTTCTCCTGGCTCTTCCACACCGTCTATTGTCATTCAGAGAAAGTCTCTCGGACTTTTTCCAAGTGAGTTAAAAGACTACCAAGGGAACAACACCATGCACTATTGTGACCCTAGTGCTGACAGGGTTCTGGGAACGTGAGTAACACCTCAAAATTCCCTGATATGCCAGAAGAGTGGTTTTCTGTATTGTGGGTATGAAGGTGATGAAGATTTTCTCTTAAATCCTCCCTGAAAAAACTCACTGCAGCCTCATCAACAGATGGAACTCAGTTATGGAATATTTTTTCTACCTGCAACAAAGTTGTGACTCATCCTTTGTGAAACTTGAGGTGTCAATGAGATGCTTTCCAAGACCTTGTACCCAATATTAGCTTACCTTCCTGTTGGCCCAAGCCAAAGCAGGGTGTGGTAAAGCATTCTGTGCTTCCTTCTGCGAGTGAACCTGCCCACTTGGCAAGTAAAGCTTATCTCTGCTGCCCATGCATTGCTGGAAGCCCCAGATAGAGTGTTTTCTCTATTCCCCAACTCTGATCCTGGGTTCTATTTATTTAATTGCTTGTGGGTCCCCCTGCTCCCTTTTGCTGTCAGTTTGGTTGTGATGGTACTGGGTTATTCCCCCCCCCTCCCAATAACACCAGAAACAAAAAAGAAGTTAACTGAAACAGAGCAAGCTAAAATACCCCTTCATAATAATCCCAATCTAAGGGTTTTACTTTTAGCACCTCAGAGTTGGGGAATATTCAGAGTCCTTCTCAAGTGTGGTGCTGGGACCCAGATCTGGATTGTGACAAAACTCCTGAGTTTACATATCTACCAGAGAAATGCAGTTTTTTACAACTCAGGGAAAGAGATAAGGTTATGTGATCAGGCATTTTTAAAGATGTTTCCACTGTAAAATAGAAGTAACCTTGTGGAATTTCAATCTAGGACACAAAGTCGATTGTGTGAGATTGGGGCTGGGAGCAGGGGGAAGCCTAGAGATAGTCAAATCTGGAAGCATGTGGAGAATGTTGTTAAGTGCCATTGAGTCGATTCTGACCCATAGTGACCCTGTATAGGGTTTCCAAGGAGCAGCTGGTGAGCTTGAACCACTGACGTTGCAGTTCAAACGACTTTGCAGTCTGACGCATTAGCCCACAGCACCATAAAATGAGCTAAAGCAATTCTTCATTTCTCCTCCTAATTCATTTCATCTTTGTGGTTTTTTTATAGGCTGGACTATTCAGGGATTGCTCTACTGATCATGGGGAGCTTTGTCCCCTGGCTCTATTACTCCTTCTACTGCTCCCCACAGCCACGGCTCATCTACCTCTCCATTGTCTGTGTCCTGGGCATTTCTGCCATCATTGTGGCACAGTGGGACCGGTTTGCCACTCCCAAGCATCGGCAGACAAGAGCAGGTGGGTAGAAAGATATAGTGTGAACCTAAGATGTATCTTTGGACCTTGGGCCTGGGATGCTGAGCCATATGTGTTTAGAATTTTCAAAATAATAGGGATCTTCAAAGGTCAATTTTGCCCTAAGTTTCATACTATTTCTATAGAATACAAATAGGACAAATCATTACCCAACTGGTTAGTTGTAAGCTTAGATATGACTGCACTTATATTTTATTTTATAATGTAGCAAGTACTCTCATTTTAATTAGCTAAACTCTCAGCCAGTGGCTTTACTAGGGTTTCCGTCAGTTCATGGTATCACACAAACACACACCCCATGCACAGTTCCAGAGACACTCCTCTTGGCCCAGTGGGTAATACATCCCCCCACTCATAACCCTAACTGGATGAGGGGTGCCACTATGGGGTCATTTTGTTGTCACCCCGTCTGACAGTGTGAGAGGGTCCAATCCACAACCCCATTGCCCTCACCATTCCAACGAAGGGGTTCAAATGAAAACTCCCACACTCATTTACTAAGGGATTGGAAGGCTTGGTCTAGTGACTAAAATCATTATGCATAAACACTGGTAACGATGACTGTAACAACTCCAAACATAAACATCTTTATTTGTGTTGTCTCATCTGGGCTCTCATTTTCAGCTTTTATTACCTGCAGCAGCACTACCAATTACCACTAGTCTTCAGTCTCTTTAGACTTCTTAAAATTAGCCTTCAGTTAAGAGAATGAAATATTTATCAAGCATCACCTATGTGCCAGGCACTGTGCTTCAACAAGGGTGTACCCATAAAGATGGAGAAGACAGGTTCTGTGCTCTAGTGTGTATCATGTAAGTTACGTGTCGTATAGTGGAGTTGAGACTGGTCATCATTCTTCCCTTGTTGTTGCCTTAGTTGGGTGTCCCAGCAGCTATGGATAACATAGAGACTGGATTTGTCTATCTCAGGAAATCAGAATCCTGATTAAGTATTTTATGATCTTAATGGGAAACCTTTCCTCCTCTTTGGCTTGAGAATCAGCTGAAGCCTTGAAATCTAGGTTTGGTCTGTAACCCATCTATCAAAAAGTGTGAAACATACTGTTTCTGCCTACACTTCTAAACAGATAATGGATCCTGGTGGCACAGTGGTTTAGTGTTTAAGGTTGGCAGTTCAAACCCATTAGCCATTCAGTGGGAAAAAGATGTCATGGTGTGCTTCCATAAAGATTGACAGTCTTAGAACCCTTATGGGACTGTTCTCTTCTCATTTAGAGGTTGCTATAAGTCATAATTGACTTGACAGCAATAGGTCCTTTTTCGGGGGTTCAAGGAGGTTCTTAACAGATAGTGAAAAACATGACGTTTGTTCTCAGTGCTCCTTAAAAGGAAATAGCTGCAGTCTTTTGCTCATTGTCTGCTGTTATCCATCTGATGGCTCAATTTCCCAAATATGTATTATTCAACACATACACACAAAACCAGATAGAAGTTCTGATGTGGGGCAATAGGATAAGCACTGGACTTCTAACCAGAAGGCTGGCAGTTCAAGTCTACCAACTGCTCCTTGGAAACCCCATATTGCATTTGAGTCAGACCTAATTTCAACAGCACTCAGCAACAACATCATACAGATTTGAATTCCAGAGAAAGACAACAGTACCTTTCATATTACTGCTGTGTCCTTTCGCTTGACAGTCTTATATCTGCACTGTTTAGGAGTATTCCTGGGACTTGGCTTGAGTGGGGTTGTGCCCACCATGCACTTCACTATCGCCGAGGGCTTTGTCAAGGCCACCACTGTGGGCCAGATGGGCTGGTTCTTCCTCATGGCTGTGATGTACATCACCGGAGCTGGCTTGTATGCTGCTCGAATTCCTGAGCGCTTCTTTCCTGGAAAGTTTGATATATGGGTAAGGAATTACTTTTCTAGTATGGCCTATGATTATGTGACTAGCACAAATTTAAAGGTCTGAGTAAAAAGCAGTAAGAGACATATGGATCATCTAGTATTTGGGGCTACATTAAAAAAATGGGGGGGAAGAATTGTGTAACTTTGGGAAAGTCTGTGTTTTAAAATTGTTTACCATTTATCTCTCTTATGGTAAGATTTTTAAAACTTGAAAAGGCAGGTGCTTTCTCCTACTTATTTCTAGTCTTCCTGTTTCCAATTAACTTAAGACTCTTCTCCTTTTGTGCTTGCAGTTCCAGTCTCATCAGATTTTTCATGTCCTGGTGGTGGCGGCAGCCTTTGTACACTTCTATGGGGTCTCCAACCTTCAAGAATTCCGTTATGGCCTAGAAGGTGGCTGTACTGATGACTCCCTTCTCTAAACCTTCCCACCAGATGGGTGGAGGAGGAACTTCCCAAGTGCTTTTAAAAATAACTTCTTTGCCGAAGTGAGGAAGAGTCTGAGTTGTCTGTTTCTAGAAGAAACCTAGTAGAGAATTCAGTACCAACCAAGCTTCAGCCCACGTTCATTCAAACCCACTGGATAATAAACTCCATTTCCCTAGCTGGGAAGAGAGGGGGTGGTCTTATTTAGCCATCCCCCTCCTCAGCAAGGCAACTTATCCCCTCACAGAGACAGTACTTTGAAGCTCATGTTGAGATTTTACCCCTTCTTCCAACCATTTTGGAAAAAAATAATGGACTAGGACTCCTCAGAAATTCTGTTTCTGGAAGAAAATGTCCTTCCCTTACCCCCATCCTTACTTTGTAACCTGGCTTATAACGGGACATCCGTTTTTATAGCACACTTTTAAAAAAACAATTATAACCTGGTCCCATCTTTCTAGGGCCTGCATCTGCTTATATAGCAGGAAGAACAAAGTCACCAACTTTTACATAGCCCGGCTAATCATGGCAGTGGGTCCAGGCTTCAAATAACTTGAGTTTTAATTTTTTTTTTTTTTCTTGGCAGAGTAATGTAAAATTAAAATGGGAAGAGATATTTAATATTTAATACTAAGCTTTAAAAATAAACCTATCATTGCTATGTATCTTGATGCGGAGACTATGATGGTAATAAAAGAAAGTACAGAAGACACTTGACATTCAAAGATTTAACTTGCGTGGTCTCAGCTATTTGCACATAATTCCAAAGGTATAAAAGCTGTAATAGACATTTTATTAGGGAAATTAGCATGCTATGCTGCTGTTGTTAAGTGTCTATGAGTCGATTCCAGCTCATAGTGACCCTGTATAGGGTTACCAAGGAGAACTGGTGAGTTTGACCCATCAACCTTGCGGTTCAAACCGACTTTGCAGCCCAGTGCATTAGCCCACAGCGCCACAGTAGGACTCCTGTATGCTATAGTGGTGTCCAGTATTAGAAGGTTTTCAAAGGTGTTGGGATATATCCTTTGTAAATACCAGAGATCTATTTTATTCTGTTGTTAAGTGCCAGCGAATTGGTTCCAACTTATACCAACTCTGTATATGGTTTCTGAGGAGTAGCTGGTGGGTCTGAACTGCCGACCTTGTGGCTAGCAGTCCAGTTCTTATCCTACAGTACTACACCAGGACTCCTTATTTTATTCTGTTGTTAAAGTGCCTTCAAGTCAATTTCTACTCAGTGTGATCCTGTATGGGGTTTCCAATGAGTAAGTGGAAGGTTTGAACCAATCTTGCAGTTAGCAATCTAGTGCTTCTCCTACAGCACAACACCAGAGTTCTGTTAAAACCATCTTGCTTAGGGTTGTCTCATAAAGGGGTCATGCCATGCATTTCTGTGCCTTTGTAAATTGTATTATTGCACATTCTGTTCATTGGATAGCATAAGACCCAGCAGTAATCACCTTACAGTAATGTAGGCAGTTCAAAGTTCTGGGGTAATAAATTTGGATTCATGTCAACAATCAGCTTTGTGCAACTGAGAGAGCAAATGATCCTTTAAAAATTAATCCAGCTAGGCCAACAGGAAAAGTTTCTCAAATTCAAATGTGATGATTTAGGGAAATGTAAATTGAAACTACAATGATTAACCAACCAGACTGGCACAAATTAAAAAGCCTAATAATATTGGGTGTTGGTATAGATGTAGAAGTATTACATTGGTAGAACCACTTTGTACTGAGATGCATATAGTATATACACATTATGACATTCAAACATTTCATGAAAGAATACCATATGAAATGTATCTGGTATCTTTCTCTGGTTCCTTCCTTTAAAAATGAAAAAATGCTGGTTCTGACCTACTAAGTCATTTGCATAAATCAGTAGATCATAAATTTGAAAATCAGTTTTTGACAAACTTGTACCAAAAGTTTCATTGCGACTGTTTGTAGTAACAAAATACTTCAAACATCCCAAGTGTCAAAAACTGTTGACTAGAAAAATAAAGCTTGGTTTGTTTATACAAATATAATAAATTCAAATGATAAATACCAGTGGTGAAAATGAATTAATTACTATGACAAGCAACAATATGGTTGAAGCTGAAATACAAGGTTAAGGGGAGGAGGCAGCTTACAGGAGATTATACAGCATGATTGCATATATATAAAGTTCAGAGATTTGCCAAACTAAAGATCTTTGTTTTAAATCAATTTGATATATAATACCAAACAATTTTAAATTAAAACAACTTTTCTGAAACTGGTAGCAGAAGTCACCAACTAGAGCTGAGTGTCCATGTACTCTTTATAGAGGGCTTGTTTGCTCCATTTTCCCTCTGATTGGTTTCAGACTAACGGCCCTGGAGACATCAGAGTTTGCAATGGCTAGCTAGAACTGGCAGGAAATTGACTCCACTTCTGATCCACTTCCATCCAACACAAATAGCTGAAGCCTACTGAGTATATGTTTACTTTTCAACAGTACACACAACCAGGGAACATAAATCTTAGACCATTTTTCTTCAGCTTCAGTGTGAATTTGCATATGAGAAATTGACGCTCAGTTCCACAGTCTGCCCCTGGACTTGTTTTGGCTGATAGGGAGCTTTTCCACTACAATTGGGAACCTTAAATTCTTTAAAATGTATGTAAGTGCCAAAGAAATTCTTAAGTGCCTGTGTCCTTAGAGAAGCTTTCATCAAGATAGAATTAAATGTGCAAGGATTTTTTTTAATTTGGGTAATTGACTATATTGTAAAATAGGGAGCAGGAGAAAAAGACAACAAACAGCGTAATGCAAATCTAACCTCCATAAATAAAAAAGGTTAGCAGAATCTTCCTAGACTGTCCTGCAACCTAAAAAAGTACAGCACAACCCTTTGTTTTGGGGAAGTCCTTGATCCAAAGTCTAGAAGACAAAAGAGCCCCTTGGCTTAATTTGCTTTTCCTAGACAGATGCAGGCACCAGTTCTTAAAAGGTGTGCCCTTAACCCGGCCCAACTCATACAGCCATGAGTTTCTCAGCAATAGTTAAGAACTATGTATGGTTCATTATCATGCCTAATGAAAAGGTTGCATACTTGTGTCTACTACATTGTAATGTGCAAAAATGCAATATAGTTTGCCTGACTGTTAAAAAGTTGACCTATACTCTTAAGCACTTGATAGTGAATTTTAAGCCAATTTCTGCTTTTCCTCATTGAAATGTTTTTCAGTTAACTAATCCACTGCCATTGAGTCAATACCAACTCATAGCAACCTATATAGGGTTTCCAGGCTATAAGTCTATATGGGAGCAGAAAACCTCATCTTTCTCCCGAGGAACAGCTGGTGAGTTTGAACTGCCAACCTTCTGGTTAGCAGTCCAGTGCTGGTACCTGGGCTTCTCTGAATACTCAAAATCACTACCTCTGGTATCCAAACCATACAGTCAGGATGATGTATGGGATCTGGCAAAACGACTTGCCTTATCAAGACCTTATACTCCAGAATGGACCTTAGAAACGCAGAATAAAATTAGTGCTGTAGGGTATTGGGTTACATATCTACACATCTATAGAGAATATTGTTACATAGGAAATGTAGTGATCCCATGATTTAAAGACTCAGTACATGCTAGTACTATATCCCTGCAGGAAATAGCGAACCCTAAACTGGTTACTTCAGTGTGTTCATTTTTGCAAAGGACTTGTCCATCTTTTTATTCTCTGGAAATGGACAGCCACATTCTAAAGAAAACCTCTTTTGTTAAGTTCCCTCTCATACTTGGAAAAATCCTTGATTTAGCAGGCAGAAATTAGACACTCTCATTAAAGTGGGTTTTTTTTAAGTGCTCTTTTATATTCATAAAACAAGGGATGAATTTCACTTTTTGTTTGAATCATACATAGTTTTAATTCACAGGATTCAAAATTCAAGAGTGCCAACAAGATATAGAGGGGAAACCTCACCAGCTTCCTCTCCCAAAAGAAACCAATGTTACCAATTTGCTTTATATCTTTCCAAATACATTTTATACATATACAAGCACTTATGGAGTCCCTGATGGTGCAAATGGTTAAGCGTTTGTCTGTTAAGCACTGGAACCCACCCACAGGGACCCCAGAAGATAAGCCTGGTTTTGAAAACATTATGTAACACTAATAATCTTTTCATTTTAAATCTAAAATACCCCTGAATTCTTCTTGAAATAAAAAAATTTTTTAGCTTAACTATTACAAAATAACTGAACAGTGTGCATTTTCAAGAACTGTTGATATGAATATCAAATTGCTAGGTTAAGAACTATTAATATGGTATATCAAATTGCTAGGAGCAACTCCAGAAATATTAGCTAGAAACCTTAGAGGTTAGTGAGTTTTATGTTAACAAAGGAGTAAAAACTCAGAAAACGAAGGTGAGAATGGTTGCATGACTCAAGGAACGTAATGTCATGGAGCTAAACACACAGAAGCAGTTTGAATTGGTGGACTCTGTATATTCTCAATAACAAAATAAATAAAAACAAACTTACGAAGCACAGTTCTACTTGGCACACAAGACTGCCATGACTCAAAATCAACTATGGCAATTAACTACAAAACCCAAATATATTTGTATTTTCCCACCTTTTTACACAAATAATAGCAGACTATCCACATTGTTCACAGCTACATGATATGGGATTGTATGGATAGACCATACTTTATTGAATCAGTCCCCTACTAGTAGACATTTAAGGTTGTTTTCAGTCTAATCTATAAATGCTGCAAGATATAGATGATGTATATACATTTTACATGTTGCTATGAGTCCTACTGGATTCTACGTCACTTAACAACAAAAATATATATGAAAAAAAAAGGAACCCACTCAGTTAAAGGATAAGAGTATGTATTCACAATTTTAATAAATATGAGGTTTCAAGAAATTTGTAGAAAAATTAAAAGATAATGGGATTTTTTTCCATTTTCTCCTCAATTTAATTAACTAATAATTACACCGTCCCTGTGGTCCCAAGGTGGCGGCTCCCCCCTTTGCATTTATAAATACCCTATGTGTAACTCTGGATCACCTAGTACACAAGTTTTTTAAAAACTTCAGAACTGCAGAGTATGATGCAAAACCATGCGGTATCTTTTGAGCCCTATTTACAATTTAGAGGTTCTTTCCATTGGTTTTCCAGCTAATTTTTGCAAAAACTCTTGCAATGGAAGTGATTGGGTGCCTTGCTACCCCATTTATGTAAACTGAAATAAGCACTGGCTGTGAGCTTAACTTGGACGCTTTCTGCACACCCCCAAGTCCCTGAAACACACCTAGATACTGGCTGTGGCTGAGCAGTCCCTAATGCCAGGAAGGGTAGGTCAGACCAGTGAGAAACTGTCTTTATTGGACTCACACCAGGAGTCCCTGAGTCTGGAGAAACTCTGTATTTTCTGATCATCACCAAGTTCTCAGCCTGTTGACGCAGTTCATTAGCCATCGCTGCTGCTTGTAATGAATGTTGGCCTCCTTCCTTTTCTCCTCCTCCTCGGTTAGGTGGCCCAGGTAGACAAATTTATATGTGAAGCATATACACACAACCTTGAGGCCTGCAAGAATCATCATCTACTTTTTCTTGTCATAGAGTAACAGGATCTCGTCAAATAACTCGAGGTGGTCCAGGGCAGTCTGGTTATGCTTGGTCTGGTGGAGCAGCATGCCCTTGCACAGTCTGCCAAAAGACACGGCTGGGGGCCTGAAAGTGCTATAGGCCATGGCATGGGTTGGTGTTGGTGTGCTTTCAGAGGAAAACCAGGTGCTTCAACTTGTTTCTGTAGCAGTTGTCAGAAATGTTGAAATGGTTACAATGCATGACCACCACCTTCTGGCCCAGCAGAGCTGGCTTAGCTACAATGGCTACCAGGTAGCTCAGAAGATAGCTTTGGTCATCGAGTACCAGGACCCTCTGCCATTTTTGGCAGATGCCTATGCAAAAAAGCTTTCCACAAACTTTATGAAACACTCTGGTATTTCAATACCCCTCTCCCCATAGATGTTGTACTAAATCTGCATTCTCATCCATAATGTGTAGAACTGGTAGCTATAATATAGAAGATGGAAAACCTGTATAAAAGATAAATGGTGCTATGGTTTTATTATTCAAAAAGGATCAAAGGTTCCATAAAGGAAAACAGTAAAATCAAGCACAACTAGTTTGGACATTGATTTCAATGGATTCAAGGAAGCGCATTCTTTCATAACCACTTAACTGCTCCAGAATCAATTGAAAGCAAAATTCTTAAACTTGACACCTCAGTCCCCAGGACCTGTTGAAAACTCAGCAAAAGATAAACAAGGATTAAAGACTACTGGGCTATTTCTAAAATTAAAAAGATACTTTTAAATGTCCCTTATTGTATCTAATTAAGTGCAGTAGGGAATTTACTGTGTCCGACTACCAGTGGCCACAAATTGCTTTCATGTAATTGTGTTGGGGTGGAGGAAGCACCCCCAGGGTGGGGATGATAAGCTCCACTATGATGCAGAGAATGTTGGAGGCTGTGAAGAGCAGGACTCTACAGAAGTGGTCAGTTCGAAAAGACCATTGTGGACAATGTATATGAAGAAATATAGAGCCTCCGTGGGTTTTCTCAGTGTGAGAGGGTTCCTGAATACCTGGCAGGTAAAAACCTACTTCTTGTAATAAAATCCTTGGAATCCTCCTGGCAGGTAAAAACCTACTTCTTGTAATAAAATCCTTGGAATCCTCTCGGTCGGCTCTGTCTCGGGAGAAGGGGTTCAACCTAAGTCAATCATTGAGATGAAAAACTGGACATACCCTCACCACCTCCCTACCACACTTATCCCATCCCACCTTTTTCCTTTAGGCCTTCTAAAAGCACTGAATTTAAGTGCCAGGGATGGGAGGTGGGGGGCTTGTAGTTCCGGGTCACGTGACGTCGCCTCCTCTCGTGACGCAGACCAGGGGCAGGTTAGCCTTTAGCAGCATACGTCATTTCGTCGCGCGGCCGCGGTGACGAAAATAGCGACGACTGCACTGACGGCTCCAGAGCCTCCGGGTCGGGGCGGCGGCGGTTCGGCTCCATTTGAGCCGCCTGCTTGCCCCGTGCCCCATACCGCCGCCACGGGCGGGGAACAGGCCCGGCGCGATTGGGTGGGCCTGGGAGCGGAGGTGAGTTGAGCGGAGTGACAGCAGTCAGCCCTTTTCTTCCTACCCCTCAGCGCCTGGTTGTGGCCTTTCCCCCATCTATCGTCGTCTTCCGAGGCGGAATGGGAGAGACGTCCTGAAGAGTAGGAAGACTAGAGGGCTTCTGGCAGCGAGCGCCCTGCTCTGAATTCGACCTTGAACTGCGCCCCTCTAGGTACCTTCACCAGATGGTGCCGGCCGTCTTCCTAGCATTGGAGAAGAGACTTCCTTCCCTTCTTTTCCCACCTCGAATTTCCAGAACTTCCTTCCTGTCCGTATCTCTCCTATGGTGGGATTCCGCTATCCAGATGTTAACTGAAATTCTAGAATAGGCCACTTAAGAAAGGTTAGGGTGAGGGACGTGGCAGAGACCTCACCTGGTGATAACTTGAAAGACAGGAACCCCAAAGAGAAAGGCCACACTGCATTAGGAATACTGTCATTTTGATACTAAAATCGTAAGCCCAGGCTAACACTGTCCTCCCTGCCCCCAAGAAAATCATCACAGTAAATAAGCATTTGTTGAGACCTTTCTTATATCCTCAGAGTTTAATCTTGATTTAATGAAAATCCTTTTGAAAAACAATGTTTTGATAAATTGTCTACGAATCGGGCTGTGAACCTCAATGTTACCAGTTCAAAACTACCAGCTGACCCGCTGGAGAAAGACGAGGCTTTCTGCTCCCATAAAGATTTACAGCCTCAGAAACCCTGTACAAGGTCGCTATGAGTCAGAACCGACTCCGCGGCACATAACAACAACAACTGTAAAATGGGTATTGCAGAGCTGATGGAGGGATTTTCTATAGTGTTTAAGGAATAATATGCTAACTTGTTAAGTGCCAATGAATCGATTCTGACTCATAGCGACCTTGTACAGGGTTTCCTAGGAGTGGCTAGTGGGTTTGAACAGCTGACCTTGTGGTTAGCAGTCCAGTGCTGATCCTATAGCACCACACCAGGACTCTAGTATGCTAACTATAAACAAGTAAATGAGAATTTAGGAATGTAATGAGCTCATTTTTGCTATTCCAAAGTTAGGGCTGTGAGTAGTGGCCTCTAGAACACAACAGGTTGAGTTCTTTTCTTGGATCAATTTGGAAAGTTTTGGATCCAAATAAGATAAACAGATAGTTTACCACACTTCAGTCCCTAGGCATTGCCCTAGAAGAAAAAATAAGTGTGACTAATGCCTGTCAAGGAGCTCTGGTAGCGTAGTGGTTACGAATCGGGCTGCGAACCTAAAGGTCAGCGGTTCCAAACTACCAGCCGCTCTGCGGGAGAAAGATGAGG